GCTGCCCGCTCTCCTCCCCACCAGCGGCCGCCCATCGCTGGAGCCCAGCACTTCAGCTCCCACCCTGGAGGCCAGGGCCCCGCAGGGCAGCTCCACACCGATGCTGTTCAGCGCCCCGTTGGGCCCCACGAGCCCCCCCACGCAGATCTGCCCCCCTCGCACATGTCTGAATGGCGGCACCTGCCAGCTGGATGCACAAAACCACCTGGAGTGCCTGTGCCCGGAGGGATTCGCTGGGGTCTACTGCGAGTTGGAGGTGAGGAGGACGACGGTGTTGCCAGCCACGCAGGCCCCCACTCAGAGCAGGCAGATCAGCATCAAGCAGGTCAGCAGCACGTCCTTGAAAGTGGACTTGCAGAACTATGTCCAGTCCAAAGCGCAGCTGAAGGGCATCCGCCTGAGCTACCGAAATCTCTCTGGGCCAGACAAGCGGCCCGTCATGCTGCGCTTACCAGCCTCGCTCTCCGAATACACTGTGAGGGCGCTGAAGCCCAACTCCACCTACCGGGTCTGCATCGGGCCTCTGGGGGAGAAGGTCTCCAAGGAGGAGTTCTGCGTTGAGGTGCAGACCTTGCAAGTGACCCACCAGCAGCACTCGCCTGTCACGCAGAGCAAGGACAGCAACCTCACCCTCATGATCGTCCCGGCGCTGGCCGCTGTGCTGCTGCTGGTGGTGGTGGTCACAGCTGTCACATACTACCGCCGGCACCGCCGGGCAAAGACGCACACCAGTGCCGGGGTGGACTCCAGCCCCCTGGAGCTGGAAGGTGTGAAAGCCTGCCTGGAAAATGGGGATTTGAGCAACCACAGCCACAAGGGGCCAGAGAACGCAATGCTTTCAAACACCTTGGAGTGTGAGGTGCCGCTCATGCAGTCACACTACCCCAGCAACAACAACACCACAGCACTAAAGCCATCCTATTTCTAAAGCAAGAGGGGACAGGCTGCCAGGCGAGGAGAGCCCCGGACTGAGACGAGGGGTGCGCTCCAGGAGCGGTGCCAGGGCTGTGTCCCTTCCGGGACGAGGAACACTGAGGAGTTAACTAAATTAAGGCGGAAACCCAAAACTCGTAACGTGCAATTTCTGAGAGGCTTACACACTTAGGGAGTAGACACTAATTTTACCGCTCAGCTTATGACTAAGTGCCTTGATTTCTGTGACTCTACGTAGAACGTGGGTAGCGAAAGAAGGTTTTTTTTTTTTTTAATTTAGGGTTTGGGTTGGCCTTTTTTTTTTTAGCTACTGCTAAGAAGAAACTTGTCTGTGACTTAGCTAAGGGGCATCAATGTGCTGGTAACAAAGGGTCCCTCAGCTAAGCATGGCCTGTGACTCTGAACTCCCTGGGAAGTTGATGTGAGCAGCAATAAGGAAAGACCCCCGTCCCCCGCAGGAGGCCAAGGTGCTGGGACCCTCGGCCTCTCTGTGCCGTGCATCGAAGGAAGTGCCAAGAAGGCGAACCGGCAATCGAAGCTTTAAGAACTCGGAGAGAATATTTATACATGGTTATTTCCCATTTCTTCTGGGAAAGCTCTTTTCTAGTACAGGTTTGCGTACACCTGTTTTGTAAGGCAGACAGAAGGGTGTCTTTTTGTAAAAAAAAAAAAATAAAATGAATAATAATAATAACTAAAACCTCTGCACAGCGTTTGCAGTCATGGAGGGCTGCGTTAGAGCCCTCTCGATGGCTCCTCAGTCCTGCTGGGTGAGCAGCCAACATGCGGTTTCCACTTCTGCAATTGCAATCACTCCCCATTTCCATCCCAGATGTGGCCTGGGCTCTCAGCGCCTGCTGGGCCTGATCCTGCGAGCCGGGCAGGCAGAGCTGGCAGCCGCATTTACTTGGGTTTCTCCCAGCACAGGACTTCATCGCCCGAAGCCTCTGTGGCCCTGCTCTGGCGTTGGCATTGCCCTGCTTGGGGTCAGGCTGGGTTTC